GAAATGTTCGAGTTATAGCTTATCAAAATTAGTCAACTTTTTGGCTATCCCACTTCATCTGGTAAGTAGTTTAGTTAGTTAGTACGCCTCGAGATTATAACGAAAAATCTCACACTTGTGAATTTTCGTTCCTTTCCGGTGATACTTTTCATTTACCTCGTATAATGTTTTTCGTGAGTGCTCGCTGATTGGTTGATTAGCTGATGTTCGACAGGTAAGTATACCTCTCTCATGCACGGCACATGGTTGTCGCTTCTCATCTGTTTCTGACCTTTGTGCTTGTGGCTTGTTTCATTCAGCTAATTAAATCATTTTTCTGCTCATTTTCACTATCTATATCTGCTTGAATTCTTGTTCCACTCTCATAGTATTATTTTATAGGTTTATTAAGGTATATTCGACAAAAAGGTGGTAAATTGAAATGGTATTTTTTTAATGAAAGTTTCTTGTAATTTTTGTAAAATTGGCAACACAGCGGTAATATCTAATCTGTTCCGAGCGAAATAAGTTAAGGAGGGAGATAGAAACGAAGTTTCGCTCTCTTTTGACGAAGATCCATCCTAGATATAAGACGTCGAGCAACTTTTTCTGATATGAACAAAACTACAGGTAACTGAATGGATTGCTTTTGAATATTGTTTTCTTTTAATTATAAATTCTAACTTCAATATTTTCTATTTCCTAGAAAGTTTATTTCTATTTACTGAGGAAATTATTTTTCTTCATTAGAAAAATCATGTGATTGATTTTCCTTTGGTGAGACACCATGTGGTCTCACATTATCTTTATCTTTACCTTCTTCGATTGGAAATATCATCCTAGTATAGAAAGGACTAGTATTGACCAATTTTATCTTTAAACTCATGAACGAGTATTTCATGAGTGTATTTTTGATTTTTCAGTAATCAAAAAGAAAATGTAGAACTTGTAATTATGAAGTTAGTTTCTGTCGGATTTTTTTCTGCTTTCAGTTTCATTGGATCCTTCCAGATGTATAATTATTTCACGAGGTGTAAACCAAATTTGGAGATATTAGAGCATTGGAGGCATTCTGATATGGAACTGACTGAATATCTGTAGTCTGAGGAAACGAGATTTTCTGAGCTGAATCCAGGATTGACTACGTTCTGAGGTGAGTAATGAATTAAGACTATTTGTCATCTCTGTTGTAAAATATTGCTTGCTCACTGAAGAACATGTCAATCCACTTTGTTGGCTAGAAAATCATGTTTCATAACAATGGGCTTATATCACAAAAAAAATTTCATTTCATAATTCGATAGAACTCACCCAAACTAGCTCACCACCGCAAACCGTTTCTTGCTGTGAGCTCCCTATGTTTTATAAAAAATTATTGAAATCCCCGATTTTTCAGACCTCTGAAAACCAAGCACCAAGATTGGTGAATCGGCAAGTTGATTTTTGGGACAAAGATAATAAGAACAAGAAGAAGATTAATTCTGACCTATATTAACTTTTTGCAACTCGCGAAACTTTCGAATATTAAATTGAAATATTTCGACAAAGTATAATTAGGAAATGTTTTGTGCCTGATTGCAATTATAAAAACATCATTTAGCTGGGAATTTTGAGAACAAATCTGGCCCCTCACTGGGTAAACACAATATTATAGTAGTAGTTTTGCTTTGCAGAAACTCATAGGGAAATTTTTGCTTTTGGGTGTATGATAAATTGACATTCATCATACAGGGCGTGGAAAGAAATTCTGAATTGAGACTCTATCACGAATCTGCGATTAGAGGTCTATAAAAATCACAAGTTTCCATCGTTCAAGTTTGAACCCCCTGATTGGGTATGAAAGTGTTGAAAAGGAATATTCTCAGATAAATTATGAACACACAAAAATGGATATATATTTATATGAAGCAATACATTGAGAATTCGCATTCTCTATGTGATGAGAATATCTACTCTTTTTCAGTTTATTCAATAGAAAACAACTACTTTCCTGACTATATGTCACGACGAACATTGAATTATAACTATTGAACACACACGATAAGAGTTTGAAAATAAAATATAAAAACTTCTGAAATTGAGAATTTACATTCTCCTTCAGACAAAAATAAGTATATGCACACATCATTCTGAATATTCAACAGAAAACAACTACTTTCCTGGCTATTTGCCACGTCGAACATTGAATTATATCTGATGAACATTCAAAAGTAGAACATGAAAAATAAAAAATAAAATCCTCCGAAATTGAAAATTGACATTCTTCTTCAAATCGAATGAATAATATGATGTATAATGGTAAGTTATATTTCTATATCATTATCTGATGAGCCTTTTACAAATCCTGATTCAACGTTCATGTTTATATTCAATTTATCAATAATATGTATCAATTTGATATAAAGCAAGATTAGGAGGTTAATTTCATTTCGTGTCTTCTCTTCTCATTTTAGACGAGATAAATAACTTCGGAATCGGAATTCGAGACTCGATGCAAATGCAGCTCCATGTAAAACGGGTCAACAGAGCAATGTTGCTGCGTTTATGAAATGTATTGGATTATTGTGAAATTGTAATGGTGCAAATGGTTTTGAGATTGAGACATTTCGTTGTCTAGAGATTGTTTATATTCCAATGATTCAACCTACAATCGACTACTTGAATATATTTCTCTGCAGTAGTGGTACTGGATATCAGAAGATATTTCAATATCGATTTCGATCTCTCGGATATTTTGTTTGGATGATATGGCAACAGTGATAAGTGTCACACATGGGTCGCGGTCATTGGTTCCAGGCGAGATGAGGCTTCTACGTCGTAAGAGGGTCCGTTTTCAGAAGGTCCTATTATTTATGTCCAAAAACAAAACATTCCAGTTAATTTTTCGATCGAATTATGTCGTCAATCATTATTTATGTATAGAAGGATCATTATAAACATGGTTTGAGTTGAAAGTTCTACTAAGGTGTACACGCCCATTATGAGTTAGATTGAATAATTTGATTTATCTGCAGAGATTGAAAGTTACCTACCTTTTCAAATAGAAATAAACTTCAATATCTTAAATATCTTATTTACTTAACTTGATGCCATTCACTTATCTGCTAGTCAATATATCTTTTTCTTAACTAATTGAATTTAAACAACTCCGAATTGATTGAAAATCTCAGTATCTTAAATGTCTTATCTTTTATTCTATTGTGTATCTGATTCTATCTAATATCTCATTCATCTTTTTGCGTAATATTGCATTTTTTAATACAATGTTTCTTACATTATCTCTAGGATGGATGTTTGTCAAATTTGCAACTCTCTTCTTGTTACATATAATCTCATCTTATTTTATCTTATCTTTCCTTATATTGTATATCATTGTATATATTACTTCCTGATGAATATCTGTATATATGGCCACTACATCTTTACTGATTATCATCAGTTTTGTAAAATTCTGAAGAACTTGCAAAACTTGTTTTGAGTCTGATGGCACTTTTGACACTCCATTGAGGTTTCACGATCTTCTAAAATCAAGTATTAGACAGATTCTGTTCGCTCTATTGCTTTTAGCACAGCAGCAAGGAACGAAGATTTCCTGCAACATTATCCAGTGAATTTGCAAGACTTCCAGAAAAGGAAACATCCTGGGACATACGAGTTGACCGAAGTTCACCTGGTGGGGAAGTAGTTCGATGAATTGAGTAGTTGAACTCACTCACCAAGGAGATTTCAAAGTCCGACAGGAGGGAAAAGAACCATCCAGAAATCCAGGAAACTCTTCAGAAAGAAGTTCGATGGGAGTAAGTGTCCCTCATTGCTCAAAAACAAGTGCAAAGTTCAGTTTAATCAAATATTCTTTTTGATGTTGAATTGTCAAAGTTTTCAAATTATTGGAAGTATATCTTGGCACATTTCTGTACTCGCAAAATTTTTGTAAATAGTCAATTTCACATGAAATAAAATTGTTTAGCTAGTGAATTTGTTTTACTGTTCTTCTTGCATAGATTGTTGGTTTTTGTGTTTTAACCAGAAATAAAACACATGGCGCTCATTTATCTTATCTTATCTAATATATCTTATCTTATGTATATCTTATCAAATCTAGTAGTTCTCTAAAAAGGGTCTCAGATTTGCTAACAGATTTCACTTACTCACGACCCCCCGAAATTAGAGCAGCTCATAGGCAAAATAAAGATAAATAAGGACAATCAATAACTTTTTATTAGTACAATAATCTTTATTGTTACAAAATTGAGTTTTATTGGTACAAGATTCAATCAAGTATTATTTGGCTGCATAGAATCTTTGTGTTTCACATCTGCAGTAAGATGAATGTGTTTTATCCACGGTGTACCTGATCTATCAGGTGGGTTTATTAGAAATATGATTTGCTGGACTCAACTGTTTCCATTATTTTTTTATATTTGTTCTACATCAATCGTGATTTGGGAACTAGTCAGGGTTGATTTAGATGTTTCTATCAGTTTGGAGATTAGTTAATTACGATTCAAGAGCCATTAAAGGGGGTTTGTCCGACTTGTTTTCTCACATCGAAAATACTATTGGCGTGGACCCGCAAGTAAAAAGAAGATAAGATAAGAGTTTCGTCGCAACTTCTAATAAAGACCATCAAATAGCATTATTACGGCATTAAACTTCAACATATTTTTTTTCTCTCGGTGAAAAATAAGATAAATATAGGCGGTGGGCCCTTTCGACGGATATTCCTGTACTACAGCTAAACATCGAATAAATCGATCGACATTATACTCGATTCTAAAGCAAAATATCGTCCAATGATTTCCAGTTACCTCAATTTCAAAATTGCTTAAAATAGGAAGAGTGCAAAATTATATAATAAAAATAATAAAACTTCACCACTGTGATGAACCTGCGATATCGGATGGACTCGAAATGACGTCAAGAAAACTTGAAAATCATGTATACATTTCTAAGGTAACAAGGAAAAATACCAAAGACTCAGACATAACACTTCAGTATATCCGAACCATTATGTTGCTTACCTTTTGTTGGGTGAAAATAAGATGGTTGGATAACTTTCCATCGAATATTCCCATGGCAGGATGTTCAGGTCTCCATCAATACAAGTAAATTCTAGATCCTCCACCAAAGATAGCTTTTTAGCTACTGTAAGGTAAATGTAAGAAATTCCATTGCAGAAAGAACACTGCTTAGTATAATAAAACACAACTATAGCCTGAAACTTGAAATACATGACAATTCTGGGTCGTTAACAAGAAGAAGAGATTATGTTTGTTGTATTATTAAATATCATATAGTTAAGATAGTATGCTTTATATATATCAGTTAGAGTGTTCAGGTACCTTATTTTCTTGTTGTATTGTTGGTAGAAAAGAATAAGTATCTAGTTGTTTTATGACAATTTTTGAGCCCAATGTTCTGCCCAGTGACTGTCGCTCTTTTGTCAACTTGAGAGTACTTATTGTATCAAAGGACCTGTTCAAGCTGTTTAATGTATAGTTCATGATGAATTCCCTCAAAGAAACACCATTGATTGGTCCTTGGAGAATATAATGTGATTCCATCTGAAAAATGTATTCAGTATAAACAGGATGCACAATTGAACATACTTGTTTCAAATTTCCTTATAAAAGTTGAAATATTTAATATTTCTCAACAGAATTTAACTTATACTGTGATGGATATTGAAATATTCAGTCAAATGAATATCAAAAATAGGTACTCTAGTAGTGGCCCGATCACAGCACTTATAATCAGATAAACACGGAATAAATTATACTTATCTCAGACATACGTAGATGAATTGCAATACAGACGAAAAGAGTTTTATAAGCTGTCACTGCTTGAATTTATTTCTAAGAAGTTCAAAATATTATTAAGAGATATTTGATAATTTTGATACAGGGTGGCATTTTGAAAACTTCCCACCCTGCATATCTTCCTTTCAGTAAACATATATATATATATATAATATATGAGAAATCGAAAAAACAGTTCGATTTCATTTTCAAAGGGAGCACTTGAAATGAATAGTTTCAACATTCTTGGTTTAACCCCATAAGAGCGGTAGATATTACCCTTCGAATCTCAAATGGGAAGGGGGGTCAAATGGCACATCATTTTAGGGCATTCAATTCTCTTTCCAACAGTACCCTACTTTATCATTTTCTGTTGAGCAGTTTCCGAAAAATGCCGTGTCAATTAGAAAACTTTCCACACTTAATATGCAGTAAATGATATAAAAAATAGAAGATACGTCAATTTCAGGGTCAGGATACCAGGAGGGGTAGATGTTACCTTTAGAACCTCATATGACAAGGGGAGTCAAGATAATGAGCAGTTTCCGAATAATGCCGTTCTAAACTTACAGAAGTAATCAGAACAGGCCTGCACTGCGATGCATGGTTTTCAGGTTAGTATTATCGTATTGAAAGGTAAAAAAAATCCCTAGACCTTAAATTTTCAAAAACAGTATCAAGGTCCGATTCATCTGTAACTCTCTGTTGGATTGATACATCGCAACATTTGTTACCAAAGTTTGTTGCAAATAGGGTTTCTCAAATTCAAAGTCTTTCAGACTCACAGGACTGGCGTCATGTTAAAGCTGGAGATAAAAAATGGTCAATGTAGAATTTGGTGGAGAGAGAGGTACTAAGTGGTCCTGGAATGAAGAAAAATTGGCCTTCTTTATCGATAAAAAGAGTTCAACTTGAAATTGTGCCAGAAATGAATTGCATGTTTTCCTTTTGAGAGATGTTCATCTTTGTATAAGTTGAAACGTATAGCATATTGTTGTAGATGTATTTACAATTGTAGGAATAAGAATAATAGGGTGGGGGAAGACTTCAACTGTAGGAATTAGATTCAAAGCTGGTTTTATTATCCAAACATCACTTTACGAATAAATTATTTAAATTAGAACATATTAGACTTCTTCATGGTGGCCCCCTCTTGTTATTTAATTCTGTAAGTGAAAATTATTGGACCATGGGTGGTAGGAGTTTGGCGAAAAAGATAGTGTTTCAATGTAGTCGATGTTTCTGAAATAAACCTAAAGGTGTTACCCAAATAATGGGTATCTTACCAGAGATAAGGGTTCGTCCGATTCTCCATTTTTTCACAACAGGTGTGGACTACGCAGGTTTATTTCTAATAATGAATAAACCTGGTCGTGGCGCGAAACAATCTGAATACATACATTTAGAATTAGTTTCATCTCTCACTTTCGAAGCATTTATCGTAACTTTCAGAAGATTTTGTTCTCGTAAAGGTAAACTGAATTGTGTATGGTCTAATAATAGCTCAAATTTCGTTGGGGCCAATTCAGAATTGAAACAATAAGCAGAAAATTTGAAACATGATAGTTCTCTCGTAGGACACTTTGTAAACGAAGGAAATTCATTCCTTCTAATTCTACAAATTTTGGTGGTATTTGGGAGGCAGGGGTAAAGTCTACAAAATTCTATTCAGAAAGGGTAATGGGTAATGCCATTTAACGTTTGAACAAATGTCTACCTTGCTCACACAGGTGGAAGCTCTAAATTCCCGTCCTTTAACCCCACTCTCATCCAGTCCTAATAACATGAATGTTTTAACACATTCGCATTCTCTCATCGGAAAACGAATCACTGGATTGCCAAATCCAAATTTGAAAGACATCTCTACCAATCGACTCTAAAAATGCGAACATAATCAGCTGATATTCAGATTACTAGAAAGTAATTCCCACTACTTTTCGTTAGCACTGAAAACATATTTTGCATCTCAGTTTTCATCAATGTGTGGACTTTTAGTGACTCAATATGATATATCACATCATATCGTTATCGTTATCATGAATAATAAGAGAATTTCAGCAGTAAAAAAATCATAGGAGCTCTAACAATATTTTGACAAACTCAGGTAAGATTTCCTAAGCTGTGAGCCTAATAATTCATAACCAATTTGTCAATGATGTGGAATAGTTGTTGGCTTATTGAAGTGACTGAAAATATCTTTCAAAAGGTTTTCGACCCAAAAGTGGAGGGCCATGAAGGTAGTAATGATTATCTGCAGTATAATTTCTGATATCTATAGATATTTTTCATTGAGAATATCATAGTAGATTTATTTCTCAGATGTCATTGATGTTGTATATTTACCACCAGAAGCTGATACGCTCACAGACGAGGAAAATATCGACGATAAAAACTATTCACCAGAAAATTGAAAATTTCTAAAGTGCGCTGGAATGATGATGCAACGGTTACTGGCTGCAGTAATGTTTACAATGTACAACCAATAGATCACGTGAAACGATATAATCGAAAAGAGAAGAAGGCAATCAATATACCTCTCAGCCTCATGCCATTAGCGAATACAATGGATCCATTAGAGGGGTTGACCTTCAGGACAATAGTATTGCAATTTATAGATGTAGAGTATTGGGGAAGAAATGGTGGTGGCTCATGTTTCGCATTACTCTATAGATAGTTTAATTGTGAATGCTTGGAAGATCTATAATGTGGCCAACCAAACGGTCCGGTGGTCGAGAGCGCGAAGGCGTTGAGTTCGCATGGGAACAACCGAGACATGGGTTCGAGCCCCAGTTGAGCCGCACAAGTTTCGACTCATGGGGAGTTGGTTTCAGTACTGGCACCAATGAGGAGATTCAATTCACAATAACGAAAAAAAAAATCAAAAATAGAATTCAAATCATACGTTGCTCTACGTCTCTTGAAAAATGAAAGAGTAGGTATAAGTAATATGAAATGTCTCCCGCGGTGTGAAATTCGTTTCGATAACATTGACCATGTTCTTATATATCACTCATTCCACTACATTTGCACGTATCATGGCTTCGCGAAACATCACTAAAGGTAGATTATTCGATTGTTACTTCTTACCAGTGGTTCGTTCGTGCACTAATGAGCAAACTGAGATTACCTAGTTATTTTTCATCTTGTTGGGGCACAACTACTTCATTATGTATTTTAGTGTATGATTATCACTCTCTATGAGGATTTCAATGCTTAGGATTAGTCTTAAGGAAATTGAAAAAATATGTTTCTTCACTTTTCTTGCCAAGTTGTTTGTTTTTATTGTCGATAATTACGAAAACACATTTCAGAATATGGAATAATAAATATTTTTGTCTGAAACAAGTTTTTCTTATTATTTCAATACTTGGGATAAAATGGGTTGAGAAATCAGATTAACACATACTCTCTAGTAACTACCGCTGTCACCATGTATTGTTAGGAATCACATTCTATTAGAGTCTCATTACAGGAGCACAACAACATACATCTGCGATTTTAGCAACAACTAACTCAACCTACGACCTACTACTAAAGTCGGCAAGTCAACTGCCAGACTGCCACTCGTCATATATCAAATGCGAGGTTGTCAGATGTATATATAAAATCAATCAGTGGTTAAAACCAACTGACAGCACAATTTCCAATTGGACATTGGAGCGGAATAAATTGACACGAGTAGAGTCCTAGATGTGTTCCATTCGTTCCTACAAATTCAGTTCGGAATATAGAATTCTCTGTCAATGATATAGACGGTAAAACTTGTCAAAATTGAAGGAGTCAAGACTTGATCATTTCGAATGGAACACTGTATTATTTACTTTAATGATTTCAGATCCAAATCACCTTCAATTTTTATGAAGTATGTCCTATACCTATATATTGCCGTTTCAAATATAAATCGATTTTTTAGCAAATGATTGTAAATTTGATGACCAACTTTTTCATTAATTTGTGCATTGAATTTGAAAATCTTCATATTTAACAAAATAGAACACATCTTGAACTCCGTTCGTGTGAACTTATTTCGCTTCAATGTCAAAATGAAAATCAAAATACATTTTTTATAGGACTCTACAAAATCAGTTCATCTTGGAAAAAGTTGAATAACTTGGCAACCGTGGAGCCAAATACAGAAAAAAGGGCAGTTGTGTAGCAATTTTACCCTATATATATATGAAAATACTTTTGGGTGATAGTTCTCATGAAATCCTATGACTGTTGTATTTGATTTATTTCTTTATATCTGACGGTTTTGGCTAAAATCGAAGGAATATTGACTCATCCGTATATTTTTTTCAAGTGAATTTCGTTTCCAAATCCATATAATGTTTTCCACCATGATGGAACATTAAGAGTATCTGGAGAAGAAACGACAAATCATTTCAAAAATTTGTGGGCGTGGATAAACAAACATACTTCATCCGTCTGAAATATTTTCAACAATACAGTGTCTGGCGTTTATATCCGAAGGTAGTAGCTACTCTTTCATTTCATATGGAACACCTCATATACCTCATATATTATGTCATTTTTTATATCCTTATAGGATTCCTCAAGTTGATTGATTTGATTCCAGAGTCATTTTCTCGACTAAACTTCAATGAACCTCGTTTGAATTCGAAATCTCCAATTCATTCGATGTGCACGAAGTTAAATCAGATATGCGAAAAAACGGATTTATTTCCATAAACCCATTGGATTGTTCAAAAAAGAAATAAAACATATTCTTTCTACTTAGTGAGGTTGTGACGGCCTTCAAACGCACCTCTGCCTGATATGAATTGTTGTTGAGATAACAATACCTGAGGTCAATTATTTCTGTCCTAAGGGATACAATTATCTCACTATCCACTCCTTCTAATGCGTAGAAATTCTTGGCGAGCTTCATTTCCTGAGAGAAGTCATTTCGTTGTAGCCCCAGCACCACAAGGGACTTATTGTTGTTTATAATCTATTATTGAATATGTTATGTTTCCCCCCTGTCAGTGACTACATCTTTTCTTACTTAGCACCGATTGCCTATCGGAATAAACTCAGTACCTCGTCTTCTCACTTCAGCAAACCACAATGGTTGGAAACCCTACCCGTGCACTCTATCAACCTTCTTCACAGTGGACGGCCACCATATTCACCATCAAGGGTAAGTAGTGTTCTATATGGATATCGGAATACTTGAGGACTAGGTACCGTTTATCAATCCCAGCTTATGTGACCCGACATCATACCTCAATATGTCAAAGCTGTTATATTATTGTCATGTCAAGATGTGTCAGGAGAGTCACGAATGTCTGGGATTCTTCCTCTGAAACTGGGTGGCTTGTGGGAGTGCGTTTTAGGCTGATGTTGCTCAGCTCTAACGAAAGCATCATAGTTGATTATAATAACATATATTGTGGATCAGTTCCCTTTACTCTCCCCTGCGAAACTCTCCGAAGGCCACCCACCATCTCGAGGTAAATATCAGTTTCGCCTGCCCTAATCATTGCTCGCAGCTTAATCAGCAATCAGATCATATCTCACATTTGACTTTGCAGGTCTTTTTTAGCTCCCCAGTAGCTCGCTGGTTGGCTTGGTTCACCCTGATCACCTTGTGTACTACCGCTGTAGGCGCATGATTAGTAATAAGTAGCCTAGACAAGACCACCAGATAGGTACTTCCTGTCAGACTGCGGCCAGGAAACTACCACCAGAGCTAAGCTAGTGACTGGAATGAACACTCCAACAATCGGCCGATAATACAAAGTAAGATCTGTCCATTAGCTATATCCCTGAGTTTTGTGCTGCTTTATGGTATGCTTTTCCGCTACTGCAAGAAACCGGAGCTAATGCTGCTTATCTAGTGATAGCGTGGATGCCCCAGCTTATCAAAATAATAGCATATCTTGTAGTAATATTTTACAGAGCCTATTTAAGTTTAGCTTAGCCTAATCTTGTAATATGACATAAGTGTGGCTCCTCTATAAATACTTCGAGCGCCCCATAAGGGCTATACTAATCAAAATCAACCCTAGCTGAAACCTCTGAGTTTATTGCCTGTTGCTGAACCCATTGGTATATATACTTAAGGGGCTGATAGGCCTTCTTTCAATAGGCCGTGATTTCCTATGAGGTCAGAGTTTTGTCTACCAGAATGTTTACATGGTGACGATCATTGTTCCAACTTGCTTGCGGCTCACCAAGCTACCTCTCAGACAGCCAAGTATAGTTTCTCATTAAAATATTGGTTAAGAATAAATACTCCTCCCCTCTCCATTGATAGATTCCACTGCTGCTGAGAGCAAGTGTTTTTCCATTTTTTGTCTTCTCTTTTTATATTGCTTATATTATTATTATTACCCTTCACAATTTTTCTTCCTACAATTATTACTGAATTATTTATCAAAACACTTTGTATTTAGTTTTTTTAGTTCTTGTTCACAGTTACATGTAAACATTGTGAAAATCTGTCCTGTACGCGGGACTTCTACCAGTTTGGACAATAAAAGGATTTTTTATAGCTTATCCTGATAATTTCCAGCACGGGCACGAAGTTCGAGCGGTCAAGCGCTCAAACAGACTAGACAGCCACAATGCCAAGGTGCTGTCGGTTAGGGATTGTCATAACGAATTCATCGATACCGGGTTTGATAGGGTTATTTCAAACGATTACGCAGATATTTGCGTTCTAAGTTACCATATACTCAATGAGTGTGACAAAGAAAGAAGTTTTGATATTGTGAAGTCACACCCATTGAGCATATGGAAACTTCGAACGCAAATATCTTTGTATTCGTTTGAAATAACCCTATCAAATCCGGTATCGTTGAATTCGTCATGATAATCCCTAACCGATTATGTAATACAGAACAGAGTATCCCATTTGAAATTCTAAGT